TATATCGGTACCTCCCAATATTCGGTGATGATTTTGATGATTTTAGCGAAATTGTTTACCGGAGTTGTTTCAAATTTCGTATTTAGAGATCGTAATGGCAACTGCAGTTTATGACAGAAAATTATCTATGCAGGTCCAGTTCTTCGTATAGGCCCCATATATCAGTACTTCCCCATATTCGGTATTTTGACGATTTTAGGTACAATATTCATCGAAATTGTTTGAAATTTCGTATTTAAAGTTCCTAATAGGTACTGCAGCCCGACTTCATATAGCCCCGATCAAAAGGTACCACCCTATATTCCGTATTTAGATGATTTTAGCTACATTATTCACTGGATTTTTTTTAAGTTTCTTATTTGAATATTGTAATGGCTTATGACAAAAGTTGTCTATGCAGGTCCACGTCCACTTTGTATAGACCCCAATATAACAGCTATATTTGGTATTTTTAAGATTTTAACTGAATATTTAACGATTTTTTTTTTTTGAAAATTTCCAAATTCGTCCCAAATGGTGGAGGGTATTCAAATTTCGGCCGAATGTACTTCTCTTTGCTTGTTATACCCTTAGCCATATGGACAGAGTGGGTATATATCATTTGATATGGCCAAAACGTGTTTCATCGAAATAACGGTGTTAGACACTAGGTCTCTTTCGTTTCAGGACATTTGGAGTCAATCTAGGTCCGTCCGCCAGCCTGTATGTCTGGCTGGCTGGGAGCACGATAACTCTCAAAGGGAGTATTCTATTTGGTCCAAACTTGGTACATCATAATATTATTGTCAAACTTAGATAGAGTTCGGAGATGGTGCGAAAATGGGCAATATCGGTCCACTCCATTAAGTACCTCCCCCACAATGGGGTTCCTCTGAATAATTATAAATCTTATAAAATATATGTAAGAGCCCGATTGTCTTCATATTACAAACATCACAATATGTTTATTAACCCAAGGTCTGATGTGAACATGGAATATGTCGGTCTATTCTTTCTGGTACCTCCCCCACAAAGGTTCAATATTTTGAATATCCCTAAAGCTCATAAAATGCGAGACAAACATCCAATTTCATTCAGATTTGGTACACCTCAATATTTCCATCAACAAAAGATCTGTTACAAAGACTGTAAAGATCGAACCTATTTTTCTGATAGCTCCCCCACAAAGAGTGAAAGCTTTGAAATCCAGAACGATCATAAAATCCGAAATAAGCATCCTATTCTCTTTATATTTCACACATCCCATTATTTCTACTAACATAAGATCTGATGTGATATATCAATCCACTTTTTCTGGTACCTCCCCCACGAAGGGTAAAAATTTTGAATATCCATGAAGCTCATAAAACACGAAATAAACACCCGATTCCATTCAGACTTGGAACATCTCAAAATGTCTACCAACACAAGTTATGTTATAAAAATGGAAGATATCGGCCCATACCTTCTGGTACCTCCCCCACAAAGGGTCAAGTTTTTGAATAACCAAAACGTTTAAAAATCCGAAATAAACTTCCGGTTCCTTTTCTATTTTACACATCCCATTATTTCCAGTAACAAAAGATCTCTTCTGAAAATTGGATATATCGGTCCACTCCTTCTGGAACCTCCTCCACTAAGACTCAAAATTTTGAATATCCATGAAGCCCACAAAAGGGATTCCATTCAAGACTTGGTACATCTCAATATTTCTATCAACACAAGATCTGTTATAAAGATGGTAGAGACCATACCATTTCTTTTGCTACCTGTCACACATAGGGTTCAAGCTTTTAAAAAATAAAACGCTTAAAGAAAGCGAAATAAGCATTCAACTCCCTTCGAATTTCACACATACAAACATTTTTGCTAACACAAGATCTGTTGTGAAAATGATACATATCTGCGAACCCCTTCTTGCACCTTCACCCACAAAGGGTAACAATTTTCAATACTTTTATTTGTCATAACAACTTTACAACTTCCTATATCTAAATATCTCTTTTAACCAGAAACCTAAGATGAATATGGAATTTATTATTTCGCATAAAATTGAATTAATTGGAAGTTCGATTTTCTTGTAAGTCCTTTCTTTTGACTCAGTAAAGTCATTTCATTATAAGTCTATGTATATCTTTGTTCAAATGCTATAGGGTACACGAAGAGGTCATCACTGCTGACCTTGTTTTTTTTGTACCTGAAACTCATTTTTCATTTCGTGTGGGAAATTTTTTTTTAATGCAATTCATCCATTAGTACATACATCCATGTATTAACCCCATCCACAAATTAAATTTTTTTTAAATTTATCTACAATTTTAAAATTAAAGTCAATGTTGCAAATTTTCCGGTTTTTTCGGAATAGCAAAACTCGTCTTCTTTTCTAAGCGTGATTGGAATTTTTAATGATTTTTATTGTCTGAAGTTTCAATAAAATAAAGCATATCAAATGTGTTCAATTTTTTTTTAGCTTGACCAAGTTTAATCAAATTTATGATCTGACCTGTTTTGTGACAGCCAAAGGTACAAGACAAGACAATTCAACTGACATCTATGCGTGTTTTGAAATAAACAATGTACGTTTATGGAATTTAAAATTTGGCACAAAAAGGTATTTGAAATTTTGTAAAAATATTCGTTCAAGGCAAATTTTAAAGGTGGGATATACATTAGGGTGTAGTAAGGAAAGGTTATATTTGATGGAATATACATTGATGTCAGGTTTGTGGTTGAGAAAAATATTTAGATATAACAACTTGAAAGAGGATCGCTGACTTGTTTCGCAAGTTATGACCGACAAAAGTATTGGAAATTGTGACCCTTTGTGGGTGAGGTACTACAAGGGATTCGCAGATATATATCATCTTCACAACAGATCTTGTGCTAGCAAAAATGTTTGTATGTGCGAAATTTGCTTATTTCGCTTTTTTTGACCATTTTGTTTTTCAAAATCTTGAATCCTGTGTGTGTGAGGGAGCTACTAAAAGAAATGGTTCGATCTCTACCATCTTTATAGAAGATCTTGTGGTAATGGAAATATTGAGATGTACCAAGTCTGGAATGGAATCGGATGTTAATTTCGCTTTTTATGAGTTTCATGGATATTCATAATTTTGAATTTCGGAGGTAACGGAATGAGTGGACCGATATATCTCATCTTCACAGCAGATCTTGTGTTAGTAGAAATAAGGGGATATGTAAAATAAGAAGAGAACCGGATGCTTATTTCGGATTTTATAATCGTTTTGGCTATTCAAAACTTTGACCCGCTTTTGGGGGAGGTATCAGAAGGAATGATTCGATCTCTGACATCTTATAGAGATCTTGTGTTTCTGGAAATACTGAGATGTACCAAGTCTGAATGGCCTCGGATATTAATTTCGCGTTTTATAAGTTTCATTGATATTACAAATGTTGATCCTTTTGTAAGGGAGGTACTTAATGGTGTGGTCCGATATATTCCATCTTCACACCAGACATTGGGTTAATAAACATATTTTAATATGTGTAATTTGAAGACAATCGGACTCTTATTTCACAGTTTGTAAGTGTTATAATTAGCAAAATTCTAACCTTTGAGGGTTAGCTACTTGGTGGACCGATATTGTCCATTTTCCACCTGACGTAGCATTGATGGAATTATTAAAATTTGCAAGGTTGGTGTAAAGTCAGATCATCCTTTCTCTCTTTATGCATTGGTATTTCGCAAGTCTTTAGGGGGATATTTTCAGAGGTCTTTTAAAGGGGTATTTTCAGAGGGTTCTAAAAGGGTATATCAGAATCTTTTTAAATGGAAATGTCAGAGAATCTCAAATAAGTATTTGAATGTCCTTTTAAGGAGTATTTCAGAGGTATGTAAGTAGGTGTTTGCGAAATCATTTAAAGTGTATTTGAGAGGCTATTAAATGAGTATTTCAGTGGCTTTAAAATGTTGGTTTCGGAAGCCATCAATCGGGTCATTTTAAATATCTTCCAAAAGGTCTATGTAGACCTCTACAAAAGGAGCCTTAATGGCATGTTAAAGGATTTTTTTGACGAGTTGAAACGAGAGTTATAGACCTAGATGGTCTTTATAGACGCCTTGAAGGGGCCTTTATAGACGAAATGAAAGGGTCTTTATAGACGTCTTGAAGGGGTCTTTATAGATGCCTTGAAGGGGTCTTTATAGACGCCTTGAAGGGGTCTTTATAGACGCCTTGAAGGGGTCTTTATAGACGCCTTGAAGGGGTCTTTATAGACGCCTTGAAGGGGTCTTTATAGACGCCTTGAAGGGGTCTTTATAGACGCCTTGAAGGGGTCTTTATAGACGCCTTGAAGGGGTCTTTATAGACGCCTTGAAGGGGTCTTTATAGACGCCTTGAAGGGGTCTTTATAGACGCCTTGAAGGGGTCTTTATAGACGCCTTGAAGGGGTCTTTATAGACGCCTTGAAGGGGTCTTTATAGACGCCTTGAAGGGGTCTTTATAGACGCCTTGAAGGGGTCTTTATAGACGCCTTGAAGGGGTCTTTATAGACGCCTTGAAGGGGTCTTTATAGACGCCTTGAAGGGGTCTTTATAGACGCCTTGAAGGGGTCTTTATAGACGCCTTGAAGGGGTCTTTATAGACGCCTTGAAGGGGTCTTTATAGACGCCTTGAAGGGGTCTTTATAGACGCCTTGAAGGGATCTCTATTGACGCCTTTAGGGGATCTTTATAGACGGGTCTTTATAGACGTTGTTAATTGGGTCTTTATAGACTCCCTCTAATGACTTGTTAGACGCCCTTGGAAAAGTCTTTATCGATGCCTCTGAGAGCGTCTTTGTATATCCCTAAAAAATATACTTTTAGTGTTTTTATAGACGCCTGAAACAGTGGTCTTTGGAAAATTTTCATTTTCAAAGTAGGACCTTTAATTGGCCGCATGCAGAAAATAGGATACCTATTTTCTATAAGCTTGTGAATTTTAAGAATTACAATAGAATATTTAATGTTCGAGGTTTTGAGTAGTCTGGTTTTAATTTTTCTCATTTCTCTCTTACAGAAAAATCAATTTTATTGCTACGTTACGTTTACGATGCATAAACAGACATCAATGCAGTTACGCAAGGATAATCGCGAGTGGTTTCAGGTAAATAAAAAATTCACAAGAAAATATTTTTATTTAACAAAAAATTTAATATTTTTCTTCTTTAGAACTATCAAAATGAAATCAACGATCGTCTGGGCATTGATAGTTTTCTGGTACAACCCATACAAAGACTGACTAGATACCCACTCTTACTGTCACAATTTATTTCGGTGAGTTGTAAAATATTTCCAATTATATCAATAGGCCTTAATTAATTTTTTGTTGTCCCATAGGAATTCTATAAAAGTGGTATAAACTGTAAGCCCGTATTGGTATCGGTGTGTAAATTGGAGACACGCTTGCGCCGACTACTCGAGGTGGTTAATCAATCTGAAGAAGTGCTAAGCATTGAGGAATTGCCAACAGAGGTAAGGATAATGGCTGTATACAATATAATAAAATATATAATATGAATTATTTTCCCTACAGTTCACCATCGACCACTTTGGTGCCTTTCGCCGTTCCACCGAATTCGAGGCCTACAGCTGTCGTTCCCGCAAAAAGTTCAAAGCCAAAGTCTTTCTGTTCGATCAGTACTTGGTTTGTGTTGAAATACGCAAACGCCGTCTGGCCTATCGCAATCACTATTCGTGGGGTAGCATAGAATTGAAATTGAATTCTTCGAAAAGTGTATCACTTCTAATGAAATCAACACATGGAGCTGGCTCCAGCAATCATAGCCTCTCATCGGCCGGCAGTGGTAGTGGTAAAAGTTCCCGTGATAATTCCATTAAAGAGGAATATGAATTCTCAGCACCGGAAGCGATATCGGTGACACAGTGGTTGCGCTGTGCCCGCAAAATCTTCGAAAATGCCCGCATCGAAGAGTCACAGAGGGGGAAATTCTCATTGCCCATGGATTTGGTGTTGGGCGCCGTTTTTGCCATTTGGTTAATTTGGCATTATTTGTATTAATTTTAGTTTTTTTTATTTAAATTTTATTATTGTTAACGCTTTTAAAATGTGTTTTAAATTTATATTAAATTATTTTGAAATTAAATACTTATTGTGTAAGAATAAAAAAACAACAACAACAAGACAAAAAATGAGTTATTGTTTAAAAAACCTAACTTTGCAAATTTGTAGGAAAATCGATTAGACAAAATTCATTTTTTTTTTCAATAATATCAGGAAATTCTCAAGAGATTTTGAAAGTAGAACTGAACATAAAAGTCATGTGTAGTAGGGGTTTGAAACATTACCTTGTTAAGTAACCAAAATAGATTTTTGGTGACTTTTGAATTATGATTCCTGGGAATCGTTGCAATTTAGGTATATACAGGGTGAGATGAAAAAACTACAACCAATTTCAGACTTCCGCCATTTCTAAGCCACTCGTCCGACAGCTGTTAAAGTTATTCCAGTGACAACTCATTATATTGTTTACAAGCGTACAAAAGCATTTTGCTGAGAATTTTCCAGCAAAGAAGTTATTCGTAATGGAATTCAAGCGTGATAGTGTGATTTCCTTATATTTGGCTGGAAACCCACAAGTGGCTATCGTCAGAGCACTCCAGCATTTAAATGTGTGTCTCGTAACATCGCTCGTTACCGTGGTACTGATAGCGTAGCCCGACGTCAAGGAAGTGGACGGAAGAAAATAGCAACATCAGCAGAAATGGTTCGAAAAGTAAAGAAGCGACTTGATCGAAACCGGTGGCCGCAAAATGGCACGTGAGCTGAACATATCACATTATTCCATTCGGCAAATATTGAAACATGAGCTCGGGGTAAAGCCATTGAAATTCCAAAAAGTTCAAGAACTTACACCGTAACAGAAAGAAAATAGTCTCAAAAGAGCTAAAGAGTTGCTTCGCTTGGCCGAAAGTGTTAAATTGCCGAATTTGGTTTTTTCCGATGAAAAAACAGTCGTTGTCCAGCATTTTGTAAATAAACAAAATGATCGTGTTTACTTGCGAAAGAGGTCAGCTGAAAATGTGCACCTTCGGTTGGCCACCAGAACTCAAGCGCCGGCCATGGTGATTGTGAGGGCCGCAATAACAGACGATGGTCTGGAGGGTGTATTAAAGCCATGGGCACGCAAACAATTTGGCCACAGACATTGGACATTCCAACAGGACTTGGCACCATCGCACACAGCACGTGCCACCCAAGAACGGTTCCACGCTTCATTTCCAGCGCTCAATGGCCACCAAAATCTATGGATACCAGTCCATTGGACTATTGTGTCTGGAGTATTTTGGAAAGCATGGTTGGCAATAAAAAATATGAAAGTGTCGATCACCTCAAGCTAGCGCTTCGCAGGGAATGGGCCAAAATACCGCAGAGCAACATTCGGGCACCGTGTGACGGTTTCATTGCCCGTTTGAAGGCCATAATTCCTGCCAAAGGTGACCAATTCGAACAAGTCTAAGTATTTATTCTAAAATTTGATGCTATTTCAGACATTTTTTGCTTTCATTCAATAAAAATTAAAAAAAATGTAAAAATTATGGCTTTTGACTTTGTTGCAGTTTTTTATCTCACCCTGTAGATGTCACTATTGGTATCTGGGATTGAGATATGGAAATGGTTTTGCAAATGTGTGCTATAATTGTAGACAAGGAAAAAAGCAGCTAAGTTCGGCCGGGCCGAACTTTTAAAACCCTCCACTATTTTGAAAGAAATTGAAAAATTTAAAAAAAAAAATCCGAAAACTGTCATTTAAATGACAACCGTTATATGTGAACTATACGAGGGCTTCGACCTGTATACGAAATTTTTGTTACAATTACGACGAATATTATCGCAAAAATCATGAAATGAAAAATGCTATACGAAGGCGTGGACTTGCATACGATTTTTTGCCATAAGTTGTAGTACCCATTAAGATCTTTCAATACGAAATTTGAAACGATTCCGATGAATAATGTTGCTGAAATCGTCAAAATATCGACTATCAGCAGGTACTGCTATATGGGGGCAATACGAAGACGTGGACCTGCATGTAAACATTTTTGTCGTAGGCTGTAGCACCCATTACGAACTGCACATACCTAATTTGAAACAATTCCGGTGAATAATGTCACTAAAATCATCAAAATACCGAATATCAGGAGGTACCGTTATATGGGGATTATACGAAGACGTGGACCTGCACAGACAATTTTCTGTCTTAGGCTGTAGTATCCATTACGAACTTCAAATACGAAATTCGAAAAAAATTCCGGTAAATAATGACGCTAAAATCATAAAATTACCGAATATCGGGAGGTACCGTTATCTGGGGGCTATATGAACCTGCATACAATTGTTTGTGGCATAGGTTGTAGTACCCGTTAGGATCTTCCAGTACGAAATTTGAAAGGATTACGGTGAATAATGTTGCTGAAATCTTCAAAATACCGAATATCCGGAGGTACTGTTATATGGGGGCTATACGAAAACGTGGACCGACATGGACCCATTTACGAACTTAACCTGCCTACTGGTAAACTTGCATTTATGCAAAATTTTAGCTTTCTATCTCAATTCGTTCGAAAGATAGCGTGATTACAACAGACAGGCGGGCAGACAGTCAGACGAACATCGCTAGATCGTCTTAGAAATTTACGCCGATCCAGAATATATATACTTTGTAGGGTCTATTATAAATATTTCGAGGAGTTACAAACGGAATGACAATGTTAATATACCCTCCATAGAATGGTGGAGGGTTTAAAAAGTACTAAATTGTACTAAATTTGGCATTGGGTGAAGAATGGGACTTAAATCTTGAAATTTGATAGAAATGTCACTATTGGTATCTGTGGTTTAGATTTTGAGATGGTTTTGCAAATGTGTACTATAAATGTTCGAAAAGTACTAAGTGGTACTAAATGTGGTAATGGTATCTGAAATTGGATACTGAGGTCTTTGTTGGTATTTGAGGTTGAAATATGGCGACTGTTTTTCGAAATGTGTAATATAATTGTACGAAGAGTACTGAATGATACTAAATTTGTTATTCGGTGAAGGAATAGAATTGAAATCCTGAAATTTGATATATATGTCACTGTTGGTATCTGTAATTGAGATATGGGGGTGGTTTCGGAAATCTGTAGTATAATTGTGCGAAAAGTACTAAAATGTACTAAATTTGGTATTGCTTGAAAGGATACGGCTGAGATCCTCAAATATGATGTATCTGATGAATGAAGATTTGATTAAAAAATTGTGTCAAATGAAAAATGTTTTACATTTTGAGTACTAAAAAGGCCTAAGACGATCTGACTGAATCCAAAATTTTAAGATGGACTTTTTGCTGACGAAGTAGAAGAAGGACACTTGTTGCTTTAAATATATTTTGACATGCGTTATGATTATTCAAACTGTTGGTCCTTCATGGAGGAGGTTTCAAAGGAGTGGGTCAACATTGTCTAGTTCGTAGCTGACTTAAATCTGATATAAATAATACATCGTGCCAGCTTTGGACTATATCGACACTAATGAGGTATGTAATTAATATTTTAACCTTTTGTTAAGGAGGCGCCCGAAAGCCAGCAGATCTTGTGTTAGTAGAAATATCGGAAAACATGAATTGGGAGTAAATCTTTTGTCTCTTTCGCATTTTATTAGCGTTTTGTTTATTCAAAATGTTAATCCGTTTGCGAGGGAAGTACAGAAAGGAGTAGACCTATACATTCACTCTTATATCTTCTATTAATAAAAATACTTATATTTGTGAAATTCGAAGAGATTGTAATGTTTATTTCGTATATTTTGAGAGATATAATTATTTAAAATGTTGACCCGTTGTGGGGGAGGTCCAAGAAGGACTGCTCCGATATATTCAATCTTCATAACAGATTTTGTGTTTATATAAATATTACGTTGTGTCGAGTTTGAAAGGAGTCGAATGCTTATTTTGCGTTTTATGAGATTCATGGTTTTTCAAAAGTTTGACCCTTTGTGATGGAGATACCAGAAGTACTGGACCGATATATCTCATCTTTACACCAGACCTTATGTTAATACATATATTTATATATAAGGATGTGCGAAATTTGAGGGCAATCGGACTCTTATTTTACATTTTATGGGAGTTAGAATTATTCCAAAGGTTGTCCCTTTGTGGGGGAGTTACTTGATGGAGTGTGCCGATATTGTCCAATGTCGCACCTGACATAGCACTGATTTAAATATTAAAATTTGATTTAAATATTAAATTTAAATATTTAAAATTTGTTCTTTGAAAATGTTGACCCTTTGTGGGTGAGGTACCAGATACCTGATATTGCCCATCCTGATATTGCCCATCTTCGAACTCGATCTAAGATTGTTAATAATATTACGATATACCAAGTTTGGACTGTATCGGATACTCTCTTCCAGAGTTATCGTGCACACCAGCAGTCAGACAGATAGGCGGACGGACGGACCCCTAAATCGACTCCAAATGTCCTGAAACGGATTTGGTTCAAAGAGACCTAGGGTCTAAAACCGTTATTTCGATGAGGTACATTTTGGCCGTACCAAATGATATATTCTCTCTGTTGCCACGTGGCATACAAATGTGGAAGAGGGGGAGACCTGACGCCACCAGTGAGGTTATTTTGCCATATAAACTTTCAAAACGCCGATATTTTTTTTTTCAATTTTTAGCTCTATATTCATAATCTTTCAAAATTTTCCTGCAATTTTTGGAGCAAATTTGAATTTTGTCGCAAATTGTTATCTTAGCTTCTCTCGCCTCCAGTGAGTTTATTTTGCCATATAAACTTTCAAAATGCCGATACAAGTTTTTTTTTTCAATTTTTAGCTCTATATTCATAATTTTTCCAAATTTTTCTGTAATTTTTGGAGAAAATTTGAATTTTGTCGCAAATTGTTTCCTTAACCTCTCTCCTGAGAGCTTCTCGAAGTATTTTGAAGTCATTTCGTTTACGCTCCGTGGTCGGCTATGCATCATTATGATTTGGCAACATTTTGAGAAAGAAAGTCCAAAAAATCACATAAA